CATCGTGGAATATTATAGCATAAAGAAGGGGCGCAACAGCAGCACACTCATCGTGTAATATCACAGCATTAAATTATGAGCGCCGGAGTAGCACAATCATCGTGTAATATTATAGCATAAAGAAAGGGTACCAGGGCAGCACAATCACCTGTAATATTATACCATAAAGAAAGGGTGCCACGGCAGCACAATCACCGTGTAATATTATAGCATAAAGAAAGGATGCCAGGGCAGCCAGGGCAGCACAATCACCTGTAATATCATAGCATAAAGAAAGGGTGCCAGGGCAGCACAATCACCTGGAATATTATAGCATAAAGAAGGGGCGCAACAGCAGCACACTCATCGTGGAATATCACAGCATTAAATTATGAGCGCCGGAGTAGCACAATCATCGTGGGCGCCACAGCAGCAAAATCATCGTGTAATATTATAGCATAAAGAAAGGATGCCAGGGCAGCACAATCATCGTGTAATATTATAGTACAAAGAAGGGGCGCCACAGCAGCACAATCATCGTCTAATAATATAGCATAAAGAAGGGGTGCCAGGACAGCACAATAATCGTGTAATATTATAGCATAAACAAGTGGCGGAATAGCACCAAAATAATCCGCTACAGCAGCACAATAATCGTGTAATATCACAGCATTAAACAATGAGCGCCGGGGTAGCACAATCATCGTGTAATATTATAGCATAAACAAGGGACGCCAGGGCAGCACGATCATTGGGAAATAATTTTGAAACATTCATGATGATTTCGTTTTGCAATGTAGGCTCTGTATCTTCAACGTCGTTTTAACAGCTAAGGTCATTAAAGGACGTGTCTCCATGTGTGTAACGTATGCGTACTAATGTGTATGTGTGTTAAAGACAGGGTAGGCATTTTCCTCCTTGCGGTAGCACGGATATGATGCCGACTTTATAGTGCTGTCTCACTGAAATACCATGTCAAAGTGCACCAGGAGAGTATTCCATCTGGTCACATTATACCGACAAGGGGTGAACCAGTTGTAACAATTAACATTTGTAAGGAGTGTGATATGTCTCGGCCTGGGGACAGAACCCATTGCCTACCCCACTTAGGCGAACACTAAAATCAAAAAGTAAGATACTGTCAAGTAAGGCACTAGGACACAAAAAGGTAAAATTATGCTTAATAGTTTCAACTAACATAAAATAGTTTTTCAATCTCATTTATTACAATGAACGGAGTTCATTTTGCTTGGATGTATATACACACACAAAAACAATAATACTTGAAATTCGAAATGATGTAGCATGTACGTCCCGCCAGATACGCGGTGTAAAATTCACTGCGAGCAAGCAAATGAGTATGTGAGAAATATCGCGTGAATGTACCTTATACACTGAACAGGACATATTTACTTAATGTTGGGATAATGGATTTGTGAGATTTGCCCTTGTCTAAAAGCACGGAAAGAAAAATCTAGTATCAGGATGTATTCCAGATCCGAGATTCGATATAGATACTTGACGATCTATACTATGAAGGTCGACTTAAGTACGTTTGAATATTGCAGGAATCATGTTCATGACAAACGCTATTTTGGGAGTGTGATTGTTAAATTTTCTTCTCATCATAATACCGTTTTTTAGCAAAAGAGGTAAGAAAAACTTCAAGTCGTTAAATAACTTCAACATATTTGAAAAATTTATGAAAAATGTATAAATTCATTTCACAATTAACGTTTCCGTTATCTTTGATTGCTAGACAAACTTAACTCGTTTGTCCTTCAAAACCTACTCGGACCATCCTCGAAATTTCGAGGATGACTTAGACGGACTACATGTACAGTTACGTTAGGCAGACTTCGAACTTTTTTTCTCTCTATTTTTTAAAGAATCAGTATTGCATAATTTAAATCCCGTATGGTCACAGTTCAGCTTCAAGCGCCACACTTCTAGCATGTACAATACACATAGCTGGGGTAATTTATACATTGTTGTAACGTAGGACATGTTAAAACCGACCATACATCCGAATACTTCCTATAGGTCCTCCTCAAACATTCTCAAGGATGTAGCCTTATTCTTACTATACGCCTATCTATGATATCGACATATTTACACGTGTTTACACGTGTTTACGCGTACCAAAAGTGTATAGATCATGGTATTATAACGATACACGTACCCGTTCGGTTTACAGAGGTCATACTTACCAATGAAACAACATATAGTACCGGTTAGGATCCAAGTTTCGTATAGAAATCCTATTTCGAAGTGTCGTTTTCAAAATATCACTTTACACAAAATTTTAGATCAAAAGTTCCAAATGTCTAAAATCAAATCTGTTAGCATCCTATATAATCTCTGGAGTGTCCAGACGTCCAAACGACAGTATCGCGTGTCAGCTCCGTTTGGTGCAGCTACGAAAAGCCACGAATGAGGTGATCGATTGGGAGGTGGCGCGTGCGAACGTGTTTAAGCAGTCACTGCACAGGTACACGTAACGGAAAGGGATGTTCTCCTATTACAGGAACATGGGTACTGGTATCGTCATTGGACCAGAAAATAACGGTATTTGTTTTAATTGATATTTTTTACAGATAGCGAATGATGTATGCACACTATCAACACTTCATTAGAACCGCTGTTTGGTTGTCAGGACAACAGAATATATCACTGAGACTTTAACAAAAATGGTTAGTATCTCAGTCGAAAGCAAAACTATTTGACCAATTGCTTTACAAAACCTAATACTAAAATTTTAAATATGATTGCAAAATTACACTAATCAAAGCACTGGCATATCGCGCAATCCTATATATAGTATACCATCATCGTCCCTATTGGACAAGGTCACGATGCAGCGCGATATGTCATCTTACGCAGATCAGCAAGGTATAGTTGGAAAGGTACACTATTAGGACACAAATTGGTCAGCTCAAAGGCAGGGTACATTCCAAACACCACACCAAATATAAGGTACGTTTATCACACTTAAAATAGGGTACATTTCTCACACCACACCAAAGATAGGGTACATTTCTCACACCAAAGATAGGGTACATTTCTAACACCAAAGATAGGGTACATTTCTCACACCAAAGAAGGGGTACATTTCTCACACCACACCAAAGATACGATACATTTCTCACACCAAACCAAAAAACGTGCTTATCGAGAATGTGTGGCCTTTAAGTTATTTCCAGTGAATAATGGAAGGAACATCTCTTCTAAAATAAAAAATAAACAAAAAAATAAATTCGCGGTTTGAGCATTTGACTTAACATGGAAACACTGGTTTTTAGTCACATGATTAACAGAAATAATCTAGTCAATGTATGCTCAAAACGATTAAAATAACTGCGTAGTCCAGACAATGATTTAAAAAGGGTTTAAAAAACACAGAATAGTTTTGGTTTTATTTTAAAAGGTTAAGCGTCCTAATAACAGCTGTCATTTTATGCGCGTGTGCTGGGGGCGCTGTTTTGATGTGTTTGCCTCCTTGCGGTATCGCGAATCGGGTGCCTGATTCAGAGTGCTACATCACGGAAATACAAAGTCTAAACAATGATCAGAGGATACAGAGTTTTGATAGAGAAGACAATACTCGGTATGAGGTTCATCAGTTTGGTATGAACGATCATTGCAAAGTGTGTGTTTAACACAAACAGTAAATGAAAACTGTTTTTGCGAGCTTTCGAAAACGTTATTCCTTTGTTAAGCAAAGATTGCAAATGACCGGTGTTTCGACTCTTAATCTCTGAAACCAACTTACTAAGCCACACTACTCACATGTTTTATTCAGACCTGAACAATCTCTAAAAAATTAAAAGAGTAGTTCAGAGAAAACGTTCAGCGATTTTGTGTATATTCATAACACAACCGGTCCCTGTGCAGGTTCGAGGACGGAAAAAATTTGCTGTATCCCACTGCATGTCCTGAGATGCAATTAACGTGGGCCCCCTGAATCTGTAAGGGGAAACACAGAGGAGACCAAATATACTGGCCCCATTGCAACACATGAGCTCTTTGTTTCCTATTGATCACTACTCTGCTCTTTCCTTTCAGCGGTGTGTCCTAAGACACCCATCTTTATTTAACCGTAGCTGATGCGAGGACCTTAACCTGAAACAAACCACTCAACTAGATTCGAAGCCGATTCTCTGACGTCATCCTCCATCTAAGGAATACGGGACGCATAATACTCTATGAAGAAACCATCTTAATAAGCTCTGGGCAGGTAGAGAAACTCGTTATAGATAATTTCACCAAGCGAGGAGTAAAGCATCATATCTGGTGAGCATCGTGTGCACGTATCATTGATCTGATATTCACCATTACTTTCCCTAACTAGGTGCTGTAAAGGTGTATAAAGTAGATTAAGACGTACGCCTATTGTGAGGTTCGGAAATATTTAAACAGCCATTAATCAAGTATTAGCGACTAATGTTTGATCATAGCGTCTCCATTTCAGAATATGTAAATCCATACTCGATTCAAGCGGTATATATTCCATTACCGTAGACAGCCATGTAAGCAGTGACAGATAGGCTATTAAGTACACATTTACATACAAATTTATTTAAACCGGATGTTATTGAATTGTCCGCCCTGCTGTGAGCTATTTCCGATTTTTTTAGTCCCGTTAACTTTCGTCACGTCAATGAGCACGAGTCATGGTGCGCGCCGTTTGAGCATGATCTGATTGTATTCATATATTCAGATCACACATCGTTTCGATCCGTTAATTTTATGTATGACTTCATATGCATTATTAGAAACTGCATGTCAGCGCAACCTACACGTTTTTTACATTACAGAGAAACATGTAACTCCAAAACTAACGAACATATAAAAAATAAAAGGAGCAATAATACAAAAATATCGACAGGAAACAGTTTCTAGATAGAAAGGTTAAATGACTATAGTATATAACACGTGTACTGACGTAAATTATAAATTCCATAGACTGAATTGAATTACCTCCCTTGAAATTAGTGTGACGTCATAAAGGTTCGGACGTTTTTGCGCAAAACGTCACGATTACAAAGATGGCGGCCAGTCAACATACTTCATGACAGGAAACAAAACGTAGCGAACTTTTTGCATTTATACTGGGAGGAAAAGTTCTTTTTCGACCATAAGAATGGAATTGAAAAGTAAGTATTCATATCTATGGTGATCATTGACTACAGTGAAGAAAAAGGTAAAACAGTTTCTTGTTCACTCTGCAGAGTATTCGCTTTTGTAGTGAGCCGTGAATAATAACATCTTTTCCAAGCAATTGTAGAACCAACTTTCCTTATTTCCCTCTTACAGATGCGGATTCGTTGAGCGACGCCGACTTTTCGCTTTTGCTGGAGGACAGAACTTTTGTAGACTATTTCAACGTCTTCAACAGTCTGCCGGTCCGTGAGAACAAAACATTTGAAAGTACCCTGTAACCAAGAGAATATTAATTAGTCATTTTGTAAATTAGATCTGAAAAAAATCCGTAGTGTACCGTGTAATGATTGAGGCAATAAATCAAATCTTGAGATATTGCAATTGCTATTCTTAGATTAAGTGCAATGACAGGACTATAGTTGTATTTCCGTTTTGTCTTACTGTCAATATGTAAATCGACGAAATTCAACATAATTATGATGACGAGGTGTTGTGTTCTTCAGTTAATAAATTCAAGTAGTGACCCGGGCTTAAATAAGCGACAATTGTTTGAAAGTTGTTTATAAATTGAATCATAGCGAATGGATTGGTAAGCTAATCACGGGACGTCATCTTATGAATAAAATGTAGATGTGCTTTTGTTTCTTTTCAGATATTCGGACAACATGTGTTATATAACTACATAGAGAAGGAGTTTGAGTACGAACCTCCAATCAGGAATCGAAATCGAGTATGTAATGCATTCTATTAGATTATTTAATTTATAATCAACACATCATCACATCGAGTTTCTTATTCAGGTGATAAATTTATAAAAAAAATACACTTTGTCCATGATCTGAACGAATTTGGTAGAGTATTTGGGCTGAATACCATTTTTGATGTTTAAATCTGGCGTTTTGACAGTCTAACATGATTTAAAGCCAGCTGGAAGAAAGGAGGTTGTAGTACAGAATATATGCTTGAGCACGAGAACGGTTTCACGAGACCAACCACTACAGCCCGGAGATTCCAGGTGCGAATCCCTTATGCTCCGTCGTATAGATCTATCTTATCTTTTTGTTTGCTCATTCAGTTATCTTGCGCAGATGTTTCTGAGTTTGTGCTCAAATCTGATTAAAAATGATTATAAGGACGGAAGGTCCAATCAAGTCAAACACCTGTATTACAGACCAGATGACCTGTATGCCATACTAATTCACTAAAATGTAACAAGCTTAAAACATTCTTTTATGTTTTATAAGTGTATATCTTTTCGGAATCGGGCGAGAAAACATATGTTTAAAACGATATTCGGAAATTGTATACTTTTCTCTTTAGTCTGATTTAGGTTATTAAAACATTTGTTAGTTCTCCGATCGAGAGGGGTTTTCTGGGCAACAGGAAGGCACCCAAACCCACACTGCATTGGACTTAGAATTGGTCTACAGTTTTGAATCCGTTCTTTATGTTCTTAAAACATTCACCCATGTATTTTATTTTTCTCTTGCTTCAGTTCATAGAATGAAATATATTAAACGAGGCTTGATATTTCTATGAGCTACTTCTCAAGTATCATCGTCCTATAAAGTATAATATTTGTGTGATTAGTTTACCAACAAACGAGAAGTATTAAAATGGCTGATCCAGGAACGTTACCGTCTGTTCGAACAAACCAGTCTGTTTTTGGAATTCCGCCTCAACACCAAACTCCGAGACATCGACTTCAATCCAGAAACATCCAAACTCAGGGGTAGGTGTTGTCTTCTCACAAAACATATCAAACTTCTGGATGATTGCTGTCTCTTTATAAAACATGTCACTTCCCTAGGGTTACATTGCTTACTGTTTCTCAAAAACAAAAACTTATAGTGGCGGTGAGGATTTCTCACTGATGCTCCAAGTTATATCCTTCACAGTTACAGTCAGAGGTGTAGACCACAGGGACTTGAGAATTTGTTACAGCTATATTTGGACCTAAAGTAAGGTATTCAGAGTAACTTTACACGTTTGAGGGGTGAAGACAAAATTTCAGTAAAAAAAAACCTCTCCCAATGATTGGGGATGGCATTTTCCCCGAAAACATGTAAATTACTCTGAACAGTTTAGTTTAGGCCCAACTATAACCATAACAAATTATCAAGTCCCTGTGGTGTAGTAATAACTTGTTTAATATTGTGTGAGATTTGTCCCTACACACAGTTTAGTTTTGAGACGTTGAGTTCTGAATATCTTGGTTGATATTTTATCGGTGTTCGTACTTTCTCGGCAGACGCCATCGGGGAAGAGGTGATGGCGAGGTACATTTTCGGGAGGAACGTCGTCGGCAGCTGTATGGGGATGCAAATATTCCGTGAGTTCTTACGTAACACCATGGGAGAGAAAATATACAAGTGCTGGATGGACATTGAGAAGTGGCAACATATCCCGGAGAATGATGAGCGGAAAGAACACATGAAACATTACATAAAACGGAACTATATCGGGGAAGGTGGAACAGACGACCTCATGTCGCAGGCCAAATACATCGTCTACCAGGGTAGGTTACGTATACACAATCAACCAAGTAACCATGGAGGGAGGGAGAGGGGGGTGGGGGAGCCCAAGTTACTTTACAGATACATCGTCTCGTCTACCAGGATAGGTTACGTATGTACACATACAACCAAGTAACCCTGGAGGGAGGGAGAGGGGGTGGGGGTTCCGAGTTACTTTACAGATACATCGTCTACCAGGATAGATTACGTATGTACATATACAACCAAGTAACCCTGGAGGGAGGGAGAGGGGGTGGGGTCCCTAGTTACTTTACAGATACATCGTCTACCAGGATAGATTACGTATGTACACATACAACCAAGATACCATGGATGTAGGGAAGGGGGGGGGGGGGGGGGGGGGGGGGGGGTCATGAGTTACTTTACAGATACATCGTCTACCAGGGTAGGTTACGTATAAGGGAGGGAGGGAGGTCCGAGTTACTTTACAGATACATCGTCCCCTAGGGTAGGATACCTATACACAAACAACCTTTAATCAAAGATAATGTATCTCTTTAAGAAAATGTAGACAACTAATATGTCTAACCTTTACGGAACATAAACTCAAAGCCGTGTACATATGAATCTGTTATCTAGATTAAGCGGGATGGAGGTTTTTTTATCGAGAAAATGTATCGGTGAAATTTTACTCGGTTCAAATACAAGTATACCGGGATTTTTTTTAAATGCTATAAAAAGAAACATTCGAAAACAATTTGAAGTTGACATCATAATTGTTAAGTCAGTGATGCGTTTGTTCCAGGCAAAATCAACTTCACACTGATGTCAGACAAAGACGTATTTGATGACATCATTCATCTTGCACTAGAAGGCGGGAAAGCGTACAACGCAGACACGGATGTGGCCTTCCAACAGCTACATAAACTGCTGCTGGCGGCCCTGCGGCGGTACTGGGTACCTCGTTTTCTCATACATGTCATAAAAGTAACTTCTAAGGATATACTTGTACTCCTTAAACGGGAATCTCCGGGAGATATCGGACTGTTAACGTTATCCAGGAGACAGCGTCACCGCATAACGATTCGCCAGATCTATTCTACAAATACCAGTTGCGCGTCCACCCCGGCACCTACTCCACATGATCGCAGCAACCCCACGACACCTCGACCCAAGTCTATCGCAGAATCGGAAACTTTCTTACCAGCCTCCGAAACTTTGGGGTTGAATGACGGCAAGATAGGAGATGAGGCAGATGCAACAAAAGAGGAAGACAATGAAAAGAAGGATTTGAAGGAAAATGAGGTGTCCGAGGAGGAGGAGGAGGAGGTAGAGGACGAGTTTGAAGAAGAGAGTAACATACAGCCCGATGATTTACTTTCGCTATGGGGAGGTATATTACAAGCAGATTATTCAGCATGGGGATTCCCTGCTACATGTACTATGGGAAATACGATGCATTTGTAAAACATATATTTATATATATATATCTGTATCTACATGTATGTGGATGGGATAACTATACATGATAATTTCTAGTTAATTTTAATTTATTTGTTTGATGCTATATGAATATTTTCATTAAATTGGTATTTTGTAGATTTTCCTACTATATTTCTTGTTATACAGGAAAGACATGTGGCACTGCTGAAAAGTACCCGCCTGAGAATCAGTCGTCGTCATCATCGGTGGTTCATGAGGATAAAGGGAGCAACTCCTCAGACACCAACGGTCTCAAAGAATTGGAGAGTTGGCAGCAGTCGGTCGAGTCCAACTACTCGTTCAGCGGCACAGACAGGATAGTGAACCACCCGATATTCATCACTTCTTATCTCAGCGGGCGCAGTCGCATGCATACCGGAAGTTCTCCAAATATCAGCAACCGGATGTTATGCGCTCTTGCGTCTGATCATCTCTCCGGTGCTCCCTTCAGGGCGTTTCTGAAGAAAAAGGGACTTGAACTCGATATGAGGTACCTGAGTTTTTGGTCCGATGTTAGGCATTATTTGGACACTGAAGACGGGAACACCGACTGTTATGGGACGCCATTGAAACAGAGTCTAGCCAAGACCATCACGGAACGGTATCTGTCCAGCAGCTCCAGTGACACAGAGATCTTCTCGGAGGGGCTTAAGATGACATTATTCGCCAGTCTAACACAAAAACACGACGTCTCCCTGCTCTGTTCCGCACAGGACATTGTGTCGGGGGTATGTATAGATGAGAGTATCATATATTTTAATCATGTATCATGACAGGGAAATATTTGGGAGGGCCATACTCACGTGTACTCATGTTTATCCGACAATGTTGTCCTGTTTTGGTTTTAGATGCTGAAGGAACCGTGGGGAATGTACATGAAGGAAGAACGGAAAGCTTTCCGGAAGCGGGTGGTAAGTTTAACGTCATTAGAAATCAAATTCTATATATTTGTACGTACCTGATTATATCAATTTGACCCTTCTTTGAGGTAGTATTATTTTTTGTCGCTATAATATTCACATTGCAGTGCGGGAAGAAGCGTACTCGGCACGTCGTGGAAGTACCCTCCAACAGCATGGGACCCCCATGTCAGGATGGTAACGACCCTATTTTCTTCTTTAACTCGGCGAAATCACCGGGCAACGCAGGTTCCCGACCATATAGTGGAGATGCGGAAGACAGCGATGATTCACGACCCTCGAGCACCACAACTAACATGGACCACGTGTGTCTGTCGGAGGAGCAGGTGTGGAAAGCCTTCGAAATCACAGTTCTCTGTAACGAGTATGGTACGTCACAAAGTAGACATCACAATCCACTGTAACGAGAATGGTACGTCACAAAGTATACATCCCAATCCTCTGTAACGAGTATGGTACGTCACAAAGTAGACATCAAAATCAACTGTAACTTATATTGTACGCCACAAAATAGACATCACAAACCTCTGTAACGAGTATCATACGTCGTAAAGTAGACATCAAATCCACTGTAACGAGTATGTTACGCCACAAAGTAGACATCACGAACCTCTGTAACGAATATAGTACGTCACAAAGTAGACATCGCAATCCTCTGTAACGAGAATGGTTCGTAACAAAGTAGACATCACAATCCACTGTAATGAGAACGGTACGCCACAAAGTAGACATCAAATCCACTGTAACGAGTATGGTACGTCACAAAGTAGACATCACAATCCTCTGTAACGAGTATGGTACGTCACAAAGTAGAAATTACAATCCTCTGTACGAGTATGGTACGTATCAAAGTAAACATCATAATCCACTGTAACGAGTACGGTTCGTCACAAAGTAGACATCAAAATCCACTGTAATGTATATTGTACGCCACAAAATAGACATCACAAACCTCTGTAACGAGTATCATACGTCGTAAAGTAGACATCAAATCCACTGTAACGAGTATGGTACGCCACACAGTAGACATCTTAATCCTTTGTAATGAGTATGGTACGTCACAAAGTAGACATCAAAATCCACTGTAATGAGTACGGTAGCCACAAAGTAGACATCAAATCCACTGTAACGAGTATGGTACGCCACACAGTAGACATCTTAATCCTTTGTAATGAGTATGGTACGTCACAAAGTAGACATCACAAACCTCTGCAACGAATATGCTACGTCACAAAGTAGACATCAAATCCACTGTAACGAGTATGATACGTCACAAAGTGGACATCACAATCCTCTGTAACGAGTATGATACGTCACAAAGTGGACATCACAATCCACTGTAACGAGTATGATACGTCACAAAGTAGACATCACAATCCTCTGTAACGAGTATGGTACGTCACAAAGTAGACATCACAATCCACTGTAATGAGTACGGTACGCCACACAGTAGACATCACAATCCTCTGTAACGAGTATGGCACGCCACAAAAAAGACATCACTAACCTCTGTAACGAGTATTGTAAGTCACAAAGTAGACATCACAATCCATGGTAACGAGTATAGTACGCCACAAAATAGACATCACAATCCTATGTAAGGAGTACGGTAGTCGCGCATAGTAGACATTACAGTCCTCTTAAACGAGTACGGTACGCCACACATGGTTAACATCACAGTCCTATCGAGTATGGAACGTTATTTATACGACATTGGCGATTTATTCGTTGCTTTATTCGGCCAAATCCATTCTGCATCACTTTTTTCCAATTTGCGAACCCGACGCGAAGATGGAACTCTTGAATCATTGTGTGTAGCTTCGTTTGCAGACGGCACCACCGAACTACTAATATATGAAAGCTTTACGTAAGCACACCAGGTAACGAACCGGTATTTGTAATTTTCTAAGGGTAGTGTCATGATAGTTACTGTCTATCCTACAGGACGGAGTGGCATGGTCCCGCAGACAGAGCCCCGAATTCACGATCTTGTGGATGTTCTCTACAGTGACTACGGCAGTCTTAACATTCGACAGGAGGCCACCGTGAGACAAGGTAGGCATGCAAGCTTGTTCATACCTGCACAAGTGTACCAACATATCTAGGAGCACTGGAGAGCTAGTGAGGCAACGGTAGAGTGTGAGGCCCCGGCAGTGCGTTTACTTAGAGTATATTGTAAAAAAAAAAAATCCGAAGGAGTTGGCGAGGCCCAGGAGTCTGTGGGAATGCTCCTGGGAGTCAATGTCATTTTTACTAATTATGTGCATATATGGGTACTTACAGAGGCACTCCGGGAGCTAGTGTTTCCGCCAAAGATCGACATTGAGAACGTGAGAGTGTCCCGTAAAGTCCTGTTGGACGATGCCAAGTATAGCAAGGAAAACGAAGACAATCCTCGGTACAACCGACTGGTCCTCAGGAGGAACGGCATCCTCATAGAAAGGCCTGTACGTCCAAAGTAGGTACAATTACTCAATCTTCCGAAGGAAAATAATCCCAATAGTCTCCCGTTTGTTACACTTCTTGTTGTAAAACTGAACGGTACACTTACACTTATTGGTAGGCTTCACATTACACTGTAAACGTCCCGTAAAAGTGTCTGCTCTATCGACGACACCCGCCATATAATATCTAAATCAAATCCAAGTAATGCCACGCCCACTAAGCGAGAGCTGGGGTAGTGACAACAAGGTACACTTATGAGAATAATCGAAAGCATCGACCTTCAAATAACATATTTCCCAATGAGATCGTGATAGTGACCATAAAACTTGTACATTTCCCTTTTCTATCTACATCTTTGCAAAGTCTGTTTTGTAAACTTGCCTGTCAGTATTCACGTACACGTGATTGATGATTTCAAAGCAAGTTCTTGACTACCGAATCAAAAGTAACCTGTAAACGCTGGTTTGGCAAAGAGAAGGTTCACCATCGGAAAATCGTCCCGCTTACCGTGCATCTTAATAGTAAGCCGTCAATTTTTGTCGTGTTGTAAGTAGAGATTGTGAAGAGTCTGCAATGTCCCTGATGTCAACTGTCAAAGTTCGCTGTTATACATGTACCATAAGTATTGATATATTCATTCATCCTGGAACATTCGAAATCGGGACTGGCACTTTTTAAATGAACTACGAATCTTGCATTTTGTCAGTATGTGTAGACTTTATCTGTTTACATTATAAATGGACATGTCTGTGGTGTCAACAGGACCTTCATGGAAGTTCTCAACCATCCTGTTCACTTCGACTTCTTCAAGCGTTACATGATGTCCAACAAGATGGCGCACACTCTTCAGTTCTGGTCTGCCGTCGAGGAACTCAAGGATACGCAGGGTGCACGTGGGCGCCAAAACATGGTTTTACAGATATTCAAACGCTTCTTCAGCAGAGGTGCCAAACAAGGTAGGTATTGTCGGTAGTACTGCGTCTGTGTTACAACGATATCTTTTATTGGTCAACTGTCGTGTATTCTTATCTGTTTACAACACGGGCGTCCACTACACGTGATTACACAGGCGATGTGGGGCTGGGGTCAGGAATACGCTGTTTTACGGTGCAGATGTTTCATTGTTTTACTGTTAAGTATGGTTACATTAACTGTTAAAAGTCAATATAAACCGGAAGTATGGATTGGCATCGACGTCTCTAAGTGTGGCGCCAGTTTCCAGTTGCAACTAGTGACGATATTTTACCGATGTTTCTGCCAGTGATACAACTTTCGGATCTATCACCAAAGGTCAAGGTCACAAAACTTTTGCAATGCTTGTCTGTGTAATAAGTTTCTAATATATTTTGATGTATATATCGCCCTAGCCGGACAGAATTTCGTGTACAACAATTTGGTCTATACCCCGAGGTCAAGGTCACAGAAATTGGTCAAATGTCTTATTATGGCACCGATTTTGCTGGCCATAATTTCCGAACCACTGAATACATATCTTACGAAACTTCATAGTACAATGTTTCATAACTAGACAGAGTGTCACAGTAGGGAACAAGCATTGTATCATGACAAGACAATGAGTGAGTTTTTTTTTCTATCACGACTGGACAATGAGTTTCGGAAGGAAACATGTAGCAGTCGCTTTGTTCTTTTGTCTGTCCAAGAGTCAACATCAACATCTTGTTCGGACCATGTCATCTATTTTGCTGAAACTTTTCTTGTGACAAATCATACATAGGTTGTCTGGTATGTCGTATAGCACTCCGTTTAAATAGGTCAGGGCAACATGACAAACTCTTGTAATGCCTTTCAGGACAATATCTTTTAAACTGCTGGCCCATTTCTCATAAAACTTCAGAGATATGTGCATCATGAACTCAGGAAACCCAAAAAGGCAGAATCAGTGTAATGCTTGTCCAGACTATAAGTTATCACCTGCTCCAGATTTTTTCATGACACTGATAAATGTATGGATCATGGTGGGCAACTTGAAAGGACCAGGTCATGACAAGGGACGATGGTGGTATACCATAGTTCACTTTGGTAATATTCAAATTATTTTTGTCAGTTTTAAGGTTTTTTTGTCAACCACACGCCTTTGGACGACCAATTGCTTTCGTGATGTAAAGAGACTAAACTGATAAAAGTAATAGGCTAGTTTGTTCCAAAATGTTTCGGATCTGCACATAAGTTCAGTAGACACTACAATATCGACTCGATTGCCAGGTTACCTGCTTGACTGCAGCGATGACATCATCAGACAGATCCCTACAATGGAAAAGGTACCCGCGAGTGTTATGATCTGCGCTCAATCATGTGTCTTCCGGTCCATGGAGCGGAAATGGTACGTTGCATGAATTTCCTGTTTTAAAAGTGATAACATCCCCCTAAACGTATTCTTTATGATAAGTTTTCTTTTATATAGTAATATTCCATTTATAGGAATTTCGTATTTACCACAATTCTATGTATATATATTCCGTGTTAACTACAATTCTACGTAGCAAATTGGAGATATTTCACATTTACCGGGCCAGATTTCCACATGCACATGTTCCACGTTTTTGATATCTCTCGTTGACTCACTTTATATGATAGTGCATCTTGCGCAATAATAGGTCCTCTATATCAGCGTTCCTTGTCCGCGATGCTCTCAGCTTAATTGCTGCCTTCGGCTGTCTTTAGCCGAGGGGACTATTGGTTTATATAATAGCTATATTTTCAATTATACTATATCAATTCTATCTTCTTGTAATATGATGTATATGAACATATAACTGTTCTGTTTCACTGTGTCTTGATAAAGGAGCGGATCGCTACGAAAATTTGACAACCTAAACTTGTCCACACTGTTGGAATTTCTTCTATGCACCATATAATATTTTAAGTAATTCATATCCTACGGACATACCCCCATTAGGATCCAGTGTTATATGGGATTTTACCGTCTATATTACTTCTTTGACCCCTACAATTCTATTAATATATATTCCGTGTTAACTACAATTCTATTGATATATATTCCGTGTTAACTACAATTCTATTTATATATATTCCGTGTTAACTACAATTATATTTATATATATTCCGTGTTAACTACAATTCTATTTATATATATTTCGTGTTAACATCAGTTTATTTTCATATATTTCGTGTATTATGTATATTTCTTGTTAACCACAATTTTATTTATAGATATTTCCTTTTCATCACAAATCTATTTATGGACATTTCTTGTTCACCACAGTTTTATTTGTAGATATATCGTGTTACCCACTATCCCGAAGAAAGATTTGTCGTGTTAGCAACCGTTCTATTTATTGATTATCTCTTGCTCATTATCATTTAATATATAAAATGGAACTTTAAGTTATTATCTTTAGTAATGGTCCTTTTGATCACTTTTCCACGGTTTTCATAACCTTAAAACCAAGTAAGTAGGGAAGTAGTAATACACAGGTAGTGCTGCATGGTCCTAGTCTATTACAACCTAATTGGTTGTCCAAGCAGATGATGAGAAACAATTTCATTCAATTGTGGCTTAGAGGTTAAGTTTTTGAAAGGAATGAGTGTATCAAAAACAGAACCACATCACAACAGAACTCAATAAACATTCTGTATGATCGAGAAATATGACAGGTTGTATTTACTAAGAATAATGACCTGTTTGGACTCACATTCAATGACGTGTTGGTGTTCTGTCAGGTACCCTCGTTACCTGGAGACCTTCCCTACTGACGCTGAGTATCGGGAGTCTATGCACGAGAGTTACCCGCCGAATAGCACAATGCAACAATTGAAGGAATTGGAACAACAAAAGACGGGAAAACCTAGACGCATGCGTAGGAAGAAGACGGTAAGAACGTGCTAGACCTAACAATGACGTTAGAACAGAACAGATTGGTTCACGCTGATGTTCGGTAATTGTTCACTATTGAAAAGGTTTAATGCAGCTTGGTTATTAGTTCACATTATATATACCATATTTGCGAAGGTCTTTTCATGTAACTTTCAATTAATTAATCAAATAAAAAATGTAGAGATAACCATATAATTGTTACAACCTAAGGTAAAAAAACTAGGAACCGATTTTGTTTTAGTAATCGAGCTGTTTATCCATTTATCTATTTGTCGCTTGTTATCTAACACACCATCAGGATCAGGTTTAAAAGACGACCAAATTTGTACTTATGTGTCTTTATGGTGTATGGTTCGCACCTGTCAGTCAAACAGCAAGCTGTGTAATAGAACAATAGTCAATCATCACCAATAATACTTCTATGATTAAAAACGGCCGTTTTTTGTTTTTTTTAATTAAAACGACATAAATACATTGTTAGAATACATGAACAACACCATGAGAAGGTATACCATAACATGCATTGCATAATAAAATGCAATGTCATTCTCTATATATCTATTGTAGGTGATAGGACAAAAAAATGTCAACCAAGATATAATAATGTATCTTTACATAGTTATACTTTTCATATGATTATCCGCTTTAAATCTATTCAACAAGAAATACCTGTCAAATACTTAAAAATAAAGGAAATTAGATAACTAGAGAGAAACCGACCAGAAAAGGATAAATAAAATAAAGATACAACATTTGATATAGCGCCCTATCTAGCTTGAATTAGCCACTCTAAAGCGCTTTAAAAGGATATACAATTCAAACAACCACTTGTTTTGAGGAATTCGCATAAGCTGCCTTATCAGGTGCTAACTACTAGTCCGATGCCACCTGGCTAATGTCTCCCTATGTGTGTGTGCCTGTGTGTGTGCCTGTGTGTGTGCTGGAGATTATTGTGTTCTGTTTGTTGTGGGACCGTGCTTTCAACGGTATCATTTATAGTGTCACCCCACTTGAATGCTACAGCACAGAAACCGCAACATCCACCCCAGACTATTTTATACTCCGCCTGGGTTGTTGGAGCTATGTGGGCAGGAGAAAAACACTTTCTCTGAATATTCCATGGGTAAGATGACTTCGAGGATCGAACCCCAGCCGCCTGCGTGGAAGGCCGACGTTTTAACCACTGGACCAATCCGCCCAGGATAAATCGGAATGCCTCGATAAAAAGATTTGATCTGTATGTGTTTTAACAAAGAGAAGTGAACATAGGCTTCAAAATGCGTTTTGGAAAAATACATCAACATTACAAAAAATCAGTTTATTTAGAAACTAGTTTTTCTTTGCTTTTGTTTGTACACGAGGAGAGAGAATACGATGAGTGGGAAAGCCGAACGAGTAAAACTATGACGACAAGGAAGAGATACTATGGTGTAAGGTCTACTGACAAGTAATGTCGCTGTATCCGTGCTCCCCCGACGTTATCTCACTGTTTCTTCGTCGTCGTCCTCTCACTTCCTCGCCGTCGTCCTCTCTCTCCATTACTGTCGAAACTATTTCCCTCACAGACGTCTCATCTCTCCCTCGCCGTCGTCTTCTCGATCCAACGACGCGATCCTTTGCTGTCGATTTTTATTCCTTCGAAATCATCTTTCTCTCTCTCCATCCTCTTCTTGTTTTCTCGTCGTCGTCGTCTTCACACTCTCTCGACGTCGTCTTCTCTTTCGTTTTAAAGTCATCTCCTCTTCCTTCGCCATCGTCTTTTCGCTCGATCGACGCGCTCCTTTGCTGTCGATTTTTTCCCCTTCGAAATTATCCTTCTCCCTCGCCACCCCCGACGTCGTCTTCTTTCCCCCTCGCCATCGTCTTCTCGCTCCCTCGATATCGTCTCATTGTTCCCTAAGCATCGTCTTCACACTCCCTCCACTTTGTCTCCTTTCTTCCTGACCGTCATCTTCTCGCTCTTTTGCTGTCGAATCTTCATTACTCGATGTCATCTCCTCTAACCCTCGCCTAATTGTTCCCTTGCTGTTGTCTTCTCAATTCCTTGCCGACGTTCCCTTGTTTTTTCGTCGTCGTCTTACCTCATCCTCACCATTGTCTTTTTGCTGTTGATTCTTTATTTCTCGATGTCATCTCTTCTCTCCCTCGCAATCGCCTGCTTGTTCCTTCGCCGTTGTCTTCTACATCCTTTTCCGTCGTCTTCTCGCTCCCTCGCCGTCGTCTTCAAGCACCCTCGACGTCGTCTCCTGCCTCGATTGCCGTCGTACTCTCGCTCCCTCGACGTCGTCTCCTGCTTCGATTAACGTCGTCTTCTCGCTCCCTCGACGTCGTCTCCTGCCTCGATTGCCGTCGTCTTCTCACTCCCTCGACGTCGTCTCCTGCCTCGATTGCCGTCGTTTACTCACTCCCTCGACGTCGTTTCCTGCCTTGATTGCCGTCGTCTTCTCACTTCCTTGACGTCGTGTCCTGCCTCGATTGCCGTCGTCCTCTCGCTCCCTCGACGTCGTCTCCTGCCTCGATTGCCGTCGTCTTCTCGCTCCCTCGACGTCGTCTCCTGCCTCGATTGCCGTCGTTTACTCACTACCTCGACGTCGTTTCCTGCCTCAATTGCCGTCGTCTTTTCGCTCCCTCGACGTCGTCTTCTGCCTCGCTTGCCGTCGTCTTCTCGCTCCCTCGACGTCGTCTCCTGCCTCGATTGCCGTCGTCTTCTCGCTCCCTCGACGTCGTCTCCTGCCTCAATTGCCGTCGTCTTTTCGCTCCCTCGACGTCGTCTCCTGCCTCGCTTGCCGTCGTCTTCTCGCTCCCTCGACGTCGTCTCCTGCCTCGATTGCCGTCGTCTTCTCGCTCCCTCGACGTCGTTTCCTGCCTTGATTGCCGTCGTCTTCTCGCTCCCTCGTCGTCGTTTCCTTCCTTGATTGCCGTCGTCTTCTCACTCCCTCGACGTCGTGTCCTGCCTCGATTGCCGTCGTCCTCTCGCTCCTTCGACGTCGTCTCCTGCCTCGATTGCCGTCGTCTTCTCGCTCCCTCGACGTCGTCTCCTGCCTCAATTGCCGTCGTCTTTTCGCTCCCTCGACGTCGTCTCCTGCCTCGCTTGCTGTCGTCTTCTCGCTCCCTCGACGTCGTCTCCTGCCTCGATTGCCATTGTCTGCTTGTTTCTTCGCTGTCGTATTCTTGCTCCATCGATCCTCTGGCGTTGTTTAGCTATCAATTAACAAGATTTTTTAAAGCTGTATGATTCACGGGAAATCATCCTTAGAGCCTGTATCTTGAGTAATGACCCTCTCTCGTTTTCCAAAGTAATAAAGCTAGATACAGATACTGACGGATGTGGTCCCTGTGGTGATCCTAAATGTATTTAATATACAGGATTATCCTTTACAGACGATGCATGTTAGTTACTCTTTGTTTAAGTCTTAACGTTTTAATTTTGATTTCCCTTTCAGATTAACTTATGGCATGGCTTCTCAAACGCCATATTAGATTTCCTGAGAGCTATGAGGGATCCAACGGAGGTTCGATTGTTCGAGATCTTTTTGAAGTATGAAACTGATCGTGACCACGATGGACCTTCCAGTAAGTGTAAAAGAATTGTTATACATTTAAAATTAAATTTGAAGTTCACATTCCTTCCCCGAACCTTCCTTCTTATAAGTATAACCAGTACACTCAACTAAGAAACCATGAGGAGGACTTTGGTACAGACTGATATCAAGAGAGAAAACGTTTAAAACCCAACTCATGTCACACCCACCAAAGGCAAGATTATTTTGGGTTTATAACTGTAGAAAGATCAAAGGAAAAGTATATCTACGAATTTCGGAGGGATCTCATATGTTTGGTTTTATAAATTTCCATCTAAGCGTACGGTATATGCCTGTGGCATAACCAGCAGGCCGCGCATCACTCAAAACTACGTAAATACTTATTTATCGTTGGAATTGCAACTTTAAATTATTTAATCATTTTATTTTCAGATTAAGATAGTAACACTTGATGTTATCATACTTTAAATATAATGGAAGCGTGTAGCGTTTATATTGTGAGCACAGTTTACAGATTCCGTTTTGACATCTCTTACCAGACATGTGCACTTGGTGCTGAACATTCCTACCCACGTTTCACCACATTGTGATCTATTGTACCTATTTGAAGTGGAAATAAATACCCTTTCGTTAACTCTTTCATCTTACAGACTGGTGCCTCTGGTCAACTCTTGTTAAAAGTATAGTATTTTATAAGGGAACAACCGAACCGGGCTTTTTGGGCGAAATGTTCGAAAGTGGGGTCAGTGTACAGAGTGTTCATTGTGTATAAACTTCGAAGTCCTCTAACTTGCTTCGGACGGAGATAATTTTCTTCTGGTCAGTGGTAGAGCGTTGGACTAAAATGTCTGTGGTCGCGGGTTCAAACCTCGACCAAAACGTCCACGAGCATGGTTAATGAACGCCCCTCCTATTACTTCAAGTCCCTCGTAGGTTTAGCTTTTTGTTTGTTGTCTTGCAGACGCTTTTGAGAAGTCCCTCATGACGTCCAGCACTATGGATATCCAGACCAGGGTCGTAATGCGGAACCGACTTGTCCTCCTTAATAAACTTGGTAATGACCTCCTCTTCTGGATAGAAGTAGGAAAGTAAGTGATGTCAACGGAGTCGTTTTCTATCCAATGATTGAATGTGTTAAGTAAATATGATACGGTTGATTTGTAATCCAACTAATGTTCTTTCTCTCTCACACTCTGAGCAGTGCTATTCCACTACAATATGTCCCCGTGGAGGGCGTTAGATATCAGACAACGTTTCGTCCAAGGTAGACATTGGATGCAAGATAAAACAAAAAGGGCAGTTACGGAATAGTGTTCTTATCCCATTGCCCTTAAAATAAACATTATGTTTGCAACGATGGAGATGAATTGTTTTTTATGAAGAAATGCTGGAGTGATTAATGGCCTTTAAAATGTATTGATAGAGCTTAGTGTTTGTTACGTCACAACATTGCTGACTCTGACTAATCGGTGTTAATCATGAAAAGTAATAGATTTGATCGCTTAATGATGTTTGTATCATTAGTGGTTGGTTGCTCTTTATACTGTGGTCTAGTGTAGGGGAATTAGAATAAGGAGACTAACTATGTGAACACATGTATAAATATGGCAATGTCTTGATACACATTCGATATACATAGTCGCTCGAGCTACTTTAAGATATTTTCTGTAATCACTAGTGCTAACATAACTTACTCCAGTGAATTAGACGCTAATTACATTATATAACCGTCGTGATCAAGCCCCTCTATCAGACGCATATCCATTCATACAATAACGGTATATGTTCCTGTTACACAAACTGTAAGGCTGACATTGTACTTCAGATACCGGAAGCAGGTGGAAACACTGAAGACCTTGGAAAATTTCTCCAAGAGCGAATCGGACCTTTTGGTTGCCAAGGCTAAGGCCATTATAGACAGCTTCATCGTGTCGGAAATCTTACCGCGTGTACAGGTAACAGCGTTACCATCCAAATAGTATTAAAAAGGATAAAGTTAGTACATGTAATGCTTGTGTCATATAAACATATGTATACTATGCACTTTCAGTAATAAACATGCACAGTTTTGCTAATCTTTCAAGGTTGTTTCCTACAGAAAACCTTTCACATACACCTGTACAATGTCGTTCTCTCGTCGATATACACGTGTCCATCTACACAAAGGCGTTTACACCAGCAGGTTGTCCACATCACGTGTCCATCTACACAAAGGTGTTTACACCAGCAGGTTGTCCACATCACGTGTCCATCTACACAAAGGTGTTTACACCAGCAGGTTGTCCACATGTTTACATGGTTTCCTAAACACACACAGAAGACTGTTCATGCTCACATACACACGCCCTCACACTCCCACATAGCCGTGCATTTATCTGAAAGAGTATTTTCGCACCAATGATACCGCGGCGAATACTGTGTGGTACCTTGAGATGTCATCGCCCGAGGAAACGTTACCGAGTCACTGTTAAAGACAGTATCACGTAAAACACATTTATATTCATAAAGTTAATTAAATTTCCAAATGATGTAATATAGATATTTTTTTTCTTCAAATCTAGATAAATATTCCAAATGAGCTTGGTCACAGTATTGCGCATAGCCTGAATTCCTCCGGGCCTGTTCGAGGGCTGTTCCATGATGCGACCATCCTCCTCTTTCCTATACTGTACTATTTTTGGAAAAGGTAAAGTATATTTGAAAAGGAAATATATACGATGAATAAACTCAAAAGTACAATGGGATCTTCAATCTTACGTCACGGTACCATAATTGGTGCAATTTTGACGGATTTTCACACAGGGGCATGGATCGCTTAACTTGTACATGTAATATTAAAAAAATAGGGGTCTCCTATACTAATGTATTTATTAGTATAGGAGACCCCTATTTTTTGATGTTACAAGTAAAGCGATCCATGCCCCTGTGGTTTTTCAGTGTTACTTAAAAATCCAGTTGTATCAGGAATATTTATTGATTCTTGACATAGATTACCCATGGTGGTTCATGTTTATGAAAAGTAATTTGTTTTTAAAAATAAAACTTGTGTATAATTCTACTAGTTAATGTGCCGATTGAAACAACATATATTATTTTGTAAATACCACACTGAACTACAATTGTATGTATATATATATATACTCTTTTATATTATCAGGTTAAAAGAAAAGGAAATCAACATTTAAATATGCTTATAATAAACCCCTTCAAATCCTTACAAAGGACGTCGACGTACGTCATTGTTTATGGTTTTCTGACACGGTTACTTTGAAGTCATCGTGTACTCTTAAAATGTTGCTGTAAACAAAACTATTTGGTTGTAATTCTGATAAATACATGTATCTCTATTGTTATACCATCAGAGGAAAATATACTACTAGTAATTTAATTCTTAAGTTCTATTCGAACCATTTTTTACTTTGTACCAATTTGAGTAAATAGCGTACCAACAGTGATAGGGTGTCGTTAAACGTTTTAAAACTCATCAAAATGAACACATTGTCATGCATACTTGGCATAAATGTCAGCGTGTTGTCACAGATTTCACGAGTCTTGGCTGGCCAATGCCAACCCGGAGGATGTGCTGCCGAAGTTGGAGGCACAGATAAGGCCCAAACGTGTGTTGACACCACACAAAGACAAGGAACTACCAAACCTCTTCAATATACGTTACTCTACGGTGGATGTCACACAACAAAATGTATACGGTATGTCACACACAGACCGGCACACCAAACAATAGGTCACACACAGACCGACACACCAAAAAATATGTCACACAAAGGCCGACACACCAAACAATAGGTCACACAGAGACCGACACACCAAATAATAGGTCACAAACAGACCGACACATTAAACAATAGGTCATACAGGGACCGACACACCAAACAATAGGTCACACAGTCCCCAACACACCAAACAATAGGTCACAAAAAGACCTACACACCAAACAATAGGTCACACAAAGACCGACATGTCAAACAATAGATCATACAAATACCAACACACCAAACAATAGGTCACACAAAGACCGACACTTTAAACAGTAGGTTACACAGATACTTGCACATTAAACAAGAGTTCACCCATAGACCGACACACCAAACAATAGGTCACACAAGGCCGACACACCAAACAATAGGTCACACAAAGACCGGCACATTAAACAAAGGTCACACAAAGACCGATACACCAACGAATAGGTCACACAAAGACCGGCACATTAAACAAAGGTCACACACAGACCGACACGCCAACCAATAGGCTACACAGACTTACACACCTAACAAAAGGTAGCACAAAGACCGACACACTAAACAATAGGTCACACAGTCCCCAACACACCAAAAAAATAGGTAACACAAAGACCGACACATCAAACAATAGGCCACACACAGACCGACACACCAAAAAATAGGTCACACAAAGACCGACACGTCAAACAATAGGTCATACAAATACCGACACAACTAACAATAGGTCACACAGTCCCTAACACACCAAAAAATAGGTCACACAAAGACCGACATGTCAAACAAAAGGTCATACAAATACCGACACAACTAACAATAGGTCACACAGTCCCCGACACACCAAAAAAAGAGGTCACACAAAGACTGACACGTCAAACAATAGGTCACATTTACTTGCACACCAAACAATAGGTAACTAATAGACCGACATACCAAACAATAGGTCACACACAGACCGATACACCAAACAATATGTCACATAAAGACAGACACGTCAAACAATAGGTCATACAAAGACCAACACACCAAACAATAGGTCACACAAAGACCGACACATCACACAATAGGTCACACAGAGACTTGCACATTAAACAAAGATCACACACAGACCGACACACCAAACAATAGGCCACACAAAGACCGGCACATTAAACAAAGGTCACACACAGACCAATATATTAAACAATAGATAACACACGGACCGACACACCAAACAATAGGTCACACAAAGACCGAAACTCTAAACAGTAGGTCACACAGATACTTGCACATTAAAAAAATGTCACAAAGAGACCGACACGCCAAACAATATAATTTATAGAGACCAACACACCAAAAAATAGGTCACACAAAGACCGACACGCCAAACAATAGGTCACATAAAGACCGACAATCTTAACAGTAGGTCACACAGATACTTGCACATTAACAAAAGGTCACACACAGACCGACACACCAAACAAAAGGTCACACACAGACCGACACACCAAACAATAGCTGACACAAAGACCGATACTCTAAACAGTAGGTCACACAGATACTTTCACATTTAACAAAAGATAACACAAAGATCGACACACGAAACAAAAGGTTACACAAAGACCGGCACATTAAAAAAAGGTCACACACAGACCGGCAAACCAAACATTAGGTCACATAGAGACCGACACGCCAAACAATATGTTTCACAGAGACCAACACACCAAACAATAGGTCACACAGAGATAGACACGCTAGACAATAGGTCACACAAAGACCTACACACCAAACAATAGGTCACACAGAGACTTGCACATTAAACAAAGGTCACACACAGACCGACACACCAAACAATAGGTCACACAAAGACCGACACACCTAACAATAGGTCACACAGAGACCGGTACATTAAACAAAGGTCACACACAGACCGACACACCAAACAATAG